TAATTTTTCACTCCTGTACGGGTGTGCTCCCTCTCGTTGGCCTGTTGAAGGGCCTCTTATTGTTGTTTTTGTTGTTTTTATCGGAGCTTTCTCGTTACTGTTTACACAACGCCGCTCGTGCCTGCGCCGGGCCCGGTGTCCTGCCTGTCCCCGACAGTGCCCAGCCAAGGAACCAGGGGCTTGTGTTACACCCACGGAATTGGAGAAAGTTAAAAAAACACCAGGATAACAAGAAAAGAATGATCATAAATTCATTGCCGAGTTGCTGCTCCAGGCCTCATCCTCCAGCCCTGGTTGCTGAACCCACCAGCAAAGCCCGACCTGAGCTGAGCTCCCATCTAGGGTGGTGAGCAGGGTTTGGGTTTTTTTTTTTTAGCTAAGGCAAAAAGTGGCTTTTTCTTGCTTTTCCTTTTTAACCCAGCACAGCCGTGGTCACTCCCTGCGCCAGGCAGAGGGATCCTCATCCTGCTCTCCCAGCTGATTGACACTGAACACTAATTGCTCCATCTTTAGCCATGGCACCAGCTGAGAACTAACACAGAGACTGACACAAACCTCTCCTGCTGGTGAGGGAGGGGTTTATCCCATTTTATCCTGGTTGATGGATGCGTTCTATCCCAGTGATGGAGGCTTTTTATCCCTGTGGTGAATGGGTTTTTATCCCAGTGATGGAGGTGTTTTTATCCTGGTGATGGAGCTGTTTTATCCTGGTGATGGAACAGTTTTATCCCAATGATTTTAGGCACGAATCTAAAGTCAGTTTTCCCCTTAAAGAACCTCCCCTACCCTCACTTGCCTTTTTCCCCCCTGAACACCCTGCCACCAGGAGCTTGGTGGCATTTAAAGCTCCACAACGGCCTCTTGCAGGTGATGGGGGTCCCTGGGGACGCCTCCTCACCTGGAGGAAAAACCTGTCCAGATCCCTGAGTCTCAGCATCCCCTGATCCCCAACTCTGTCCCCAAACTCTGCTGCTGTTCCTGAGCCCCTGGGGCTGCTTCACCTGCCCGGGGCAGCCGTGAGAGAGGAAGCACTTCTGAGAAGCTGCCCTTATTTTAGGAAAGAGGAAGGGCTGGAGCCGTTGCGCCACCCAGGAGGGGATGTTCACAGTATCCAACTTCCAGATTTCCCAGCGCAGCCTTCCCTGGGATTTCGGATGCAAAACTTGCCTGGAGATTGCCTTACAGAAAGCTTTTTTATTTCTGTTTTCCTTGAAATTGCAATAGAGGTGGGAGCCCTCAGGAGCATTAACATTTAGCAATTAATTCGAAAACCAGCAAACACAAAGCCTCGTTGGGCTGAGTTAGGGAATTCCACAAAAATCCAGCCTCTGGGACAGGCTTTGCAGGTTTTGGGTGAGCCCAAAGTATAAGGAGACAATGTCGGGAGCTGAAGGGCAAGGCCAAAATATCTGGGGCCAAAACAGCCCGGGAAGCAGCTGTGAGAGCAAATCTGGGTTTATAAATCAAATTATGAGGCTGGGACAAACGGGAACCATCAACTGGAGAAACCATTTAGGTTTTCCTTTTGTGCCTCCCCATTGCTTGCTCTCGTTCTCTCCTGGGCTTTGTGCATTTAGAGCAGGCAAAGGCTTTTTTTTCTCCCCCCTTCTCTTTTTTCCCTCGTGCCTGAAACTGGAGCATTAAGAGCAAATTGCACTGGTCCTGCAGCACTGCCAGCCCCGGAGAGGCTGATGGAGGAACAAAGCCAGCCCTGTCCTCCTCAGCTGTATCCGCATCCCATTCTCCTCCCCGGAGCAGCACAAAGGCTGCAGCCAGAGGCAGGAGCACATCCCCGGGGCTGCCTTGTGCCAGGCGAGGCAGATCCCTCCCAGCCTCATAAAGAACTCCCCGTGCTCTTGCATTTGTAGGGATGGGGATGGGGAAGGGGGGACAGCACAGCACAAGTTGTCGTTTCCTTTCTTTGCTTGCTGCCTGCTTCCCAAAGCCTTGGAAAACACAGGGATGGGCTAAATCCTGCTAAGATTGTTGGGTTTTAGCACCACTGAGCTCCAGGGAGCTGCTTTCAAAGGGGTTTTCCCCCAAAAGGCGAGGTGGAATCACCCGAATCTCCCGACATCTGCAAAGAAAGGACAGGCTGGGAAAAGGCAGTGCTATTCACATCCCTTGCCAGATGAATCCAGAGGAATCCTTGCCAGATAAATCAGATGCTGCTGGGGTGGGTTGTTTTGGCACGCCGGGACTTTATTGTTCCAGTGCCAGAACTGAAACATGCGTGTGCATGTGGTATTTTTAACCTGCAGCTTAATTACAAGGGGGTTCTCCGCAGTTTAAATGGAAATTGCTGTGCTTGATTAGTAAAATACACTTTGGGTTCATTATCTCCCTGTCAGCCGCTTCCCCCACGCAAACAAACTCCACTGGGGGAGAACTCCTGTTCGCCCCACCAGTGAGCAGTGGGAGAGCCCCTCTGATTATTTAATAGCTAATTCCATCCCCAAACTCACCCACAGGCAGCTCCACCAGCTCCTCATTTCAGATCCACTGCCAGCAGGACCTGAGGGGATTTTGGGGCTATTTCCCAAGCTCCCGGGGGGAACTGAGTTTGAAATCCTATTTCTCCTAGAAAACATCTGGCTTGGGACACAGGTCAGAGCACGACTCTGCTCCGTTACTCCAGCCCTGAGGTGCTCACTCCTCTGCATTGTAGCAGTGGACAAAGAGCATTAAACCGTTCCACCCGATGGAATAGAAGCATTTGGCAGGAATTTTTATATTCTTGTGACTTGAGAGAAGAGCCCAGGGCTGGGCAGGTTTGATTCCTCAGCCCCTGTGGGCTTTTACTGGCATTTGTGAGAATTTTGGGAGGAGGGGAGGCCAAGGGCAGGTGGCCCCTGGTCAAGTGTAGGCACCTTGGCCCTGGAGATGGGCACGTGGAACACGAGTTTGGATCCCAGCTGGGGAAGCCAGGAGCCACAGGAGCAGCTCTTGGAGCTGGGCTGGAGGCTCTGCCCCATGGCCTTCCCCAGCAGAGCCCCATTTCATCCAGCTCCTCAGGACAGTTTTCAGCAATAAAGATGAAAACCAGGCAGTGCCTTTGCTCTGTGACAGCAGGACTTGGTTTAGGGCACATTCCAAAACTTGGAATTCCTCCCCCTCCTCTTCCTCGTGCTGTTTGCTGACAGCTGCTCCTGTTGGTGGCTTTTGTGTCCCCAGGGCTGTCAGTTGTGAAGGAGCTCCTGACATGAAGCATTAGTTGATGTCTCCATCCCTCCCTCCCACACCCCAGCCCTGTGGAACAGCCCCAGCAGGAACCAAACCCCGACACCACCACTCCTCACCCATCCCTTTGGATTGAAGCCGTTTTGGGGTGAAACTTCTAGGAAAAGATCCGGGGAGAAGCCAAAGCTTCTCATTCCTCATCTGGAGCACCAAACCCCGGTGGCATCCAGCATTCCAAGCTTTTAGCTTTGATCCAAACAGCCCCAACATTCCCCAGCAGCTCCCAGAGGCAGGGAGGTGACTCTGTATTCCCTAACTCAGCCTTCAGCAGGACGATTAAAGCCAACAGTTTTGTTGGGAGTGTATTAATTTGGAAGTTCTACTTTTCACCCGCACAGAAAAGTTCTTCTTGTATAGTAATTTTTTTCTATATATTGTTTCTGTATGTACTGTACAAGTAACTTATTCTTGAATAATGCGATTTTACCATAATATTAAAAAAAAAAAAATCTGCTCTTAATAAACTGTTTTTAGAACTCGTTTCTCACTTGTAGTCTTCAGCCTGATTCTCTCCAGGTGCCTGGAAATTGTTTTAGTGGATACTGGAGGCTGGAAGGCAGAAATGCTCCCTTGGGCATGAAAATCCTCTGGTTTGTCCCCACGGGACGATGCCTGCAGCACCCAGGACAGTCAGGAACGGAACTTGGAGCAGGGATAACTTTGTCTGCCCATCTTTTTAGGGCATTTTGCCAGGGAATTCTTACCTTTCCTTTCCTTCTCCAGCAGCACCACTGACTTTTATATTTCCATCACCTTAAAGGCCCATCCGGGATCCTTCCCGACCCCGTCCAGAGCAGCTCAAGGCTGAGGGATGGGGAACACAAAATCCCCTGGGCACAAAACCTTGTTAGGAAACTGGGCTGAATTTGGGATTCCCAAAGCTTTCCCTTATTCCTGCAATGGCCCTGCAGCAGCAGCAGCAGCAGACAACAGACCCAGGCAAACCCTGCCTCCAGTTGGGATGGGAGCTGGAGCAGCTGGTACGGGAAGAGACCCAAAAATCACCACACGAACACCGAGGAGGATCAGTTTTTAAAACTTTTTTTATTTTTTAATTTTTTTTTTAAGTTTTTATTTTATATTATCTACAAAGTAAAAGTTTTCTTAACTTAAAAGTTACATCACTGTCTCACGATAGTGATTATCTCATCAAACGTGATTTATAAATAATAACTCATCCGTTTGACGATTAGAATTTTTTTTTTTTTTTTACTGAACCTGTTTTCAAGTTTAGTTAGAAGTAAAAGGGATCTCCAAGTCTTGATTTTTAGTGATAATAGCAGCAAGAATCACTCTTGTTACTTCTTTTGCTAGCTGACGAGTTCATAACTTTGAAGGGTCATTAAAAAATAAATAACTTCCAGTTTTCAGCAAGCAGAGTTGGGGCACTTGCAGGACTCAGATACAGTGCATGGAATTATGGAATAGCCCACAAGTTCCTAAATGCCTCTACTCAGTCCGAATCTCTCCCACTGCAAGATGAACTGTTAGCATTCCTAGTGGATGTTACAAGAAATCAAATTTTTTTTTTTTTTAAACAAAATAAAATGAAATTCTAGTTTTCTGTGCTTCCAGTTGGCAGAAGCAGTAGAAGGAGGGTATTTGGCCTACAAAAGGTATCCAGCCTTTCAGTTATTCCAGATGAGCCTTACAACTGCTGTTGGTGGTGGGCTTGTACTGTAAAAAAAAAGTTCAAATGTAAATAATAAATTGGCAAGCCACACAACAGTTTGCTAGTAAAGTGGTCACAGGACAACTACTGAGCTCAACTTTCTTTTATTTTTATTTTTATTTTTTCCTTTATTTTTTTTTAGAGAACAAAATAAAACCCTGCACATCAAGATGTCCTTGGGATGCTGTTTTTTTTTTTCTTTTCCCTACCTAAACCCTCAGAAAGCAGCTTTGTTCTGTTCACAAGTTCCCCAAGAAACATCAGGTAAAACTAAATCACTAAACAACTTCAGAGGCTGTTTGAGCTTGAATAATCAAAGAAACCTAAATAAGGTTAAATTTAAAGCGGAAAGAAGTCACACGACTCCTACTTTTCCCCCAAAGCTGCAAAATGTTACTCTGAATTAAAGTTTAATTTCAGTTGTCACTTTACCAGCAGCCTAGCAGCCCTACCCCCACACAACATTTCACTCCTGTGCTCGAGATTTAATCAAACCTCTGATCATTATAAACTACACACAATCCATCCCCCACGGCAAATCCACGGAAAACTCAGTCCCACAGTGCCAGTGTCTCACACTTCTCCTTTTGCTAGGAAAAAAGCACAAATATTCCCTGAATATTCCCTGAATTAGGTACATCTCACCAGCTAAACCTACGCTCCTCTAAGCTGCCAAAGCACAGCTGTGAAACACAAGGACATCTTAAGGTTGGTCGGTTTTCTTTGTCGTATTTTTTTTTTTAATTATTATTATTTTTCCCCAAAAGATCTGGTTTTTCCCAGTCCTCACTCCTCGACCTGGCTCAGTTAGGGTGCAGGTCTCCCGGGCACACACTCCTCACCTGAAGGGTGGGTCATATAGGGGAAATGTGTTGTTGTCGAGACTGGAATGGGCTGTAGTGCACTTTGAGCGAGGGCGGCTTGGGGACCACCGGGAGGCTGTGTCGTCATTAGCATCATTGGAGCATGGGCAGTTGGGTGAGAAGGAACCATTCCTGACTGTACATGAGCCTGAAACAAAGAGCTCTTTAGTATCATGGTCACAAGGAGGCACCAACTCCTGGCCACATGACTGGCGAAAGTTTGCTCCGTCAGCAAAGGTTTACTCTTCATTTGTTTTTCTGGTTTTTTTTTTGGTTTTTTTTTTTTTTCTTTCTTTCTTTTTTATTATTTTAAACTAGGTTAGGGGTTAAGGCAGAAGTTGTAACACAAAAAGAAAAATAATAATAACAACAAAAAGGGAAAATAATAATTCGAAAAAGCGCTCAAGACCTCATTGCTGGCTCTGAGCTGCGTTCTCAATTTTAGCCATTTTGCCAGCATTAAACAAGGGGGTATTTGAAAAAATAAAAAAATATAACAATTCAGCAACAAATCTTCAAAACATTTCTGTTAGTCACCCAGATCAAAGCACTTCCTAGAGGGTACAGATAGGAACTTTGCAGGCACTGAGAGTCTGGCATCCCTTCCCAGCTCTCTCCTTGCACAACCCCACGTTCTCTCCTGGCTCCCAGCCCTGGGAACCTCCCTGTCCTCTCCAGTGACCTGTGGCCACACAGTGCTCAGCCAAGTCCTCCTGACAGGAGTGATTTCATCCCTTCACACTCTCAGGGCAGCTTTGTTCTGCTTCCAGTTCAGCTCATCGCAGTTCTTGTGTAATCTGAGCAATCAGGGCTAAGGCTCAGTGGAAAAGGAGATTAATCCTTCCCCATGGCTGATCACCTCTGGCAAACAAATTCAGGACCTTGGTGGGTTCTTTAGCTCATGTCTCTAGAGGTCATCAATTTATTTTATTTAAAAACCTAGCAAGCATTAATTTCTTAAAAGCACAAAGAAACTCAGAGCTCTCAGTGGATTTCTCCTGGGAAAAAAAAAAGCCCCAAAACCCCATCATTTGTACCTAAAGTTTGTTTCTACCATAGCCCAGAACTGCAGCCTCACAGGTCTCCCATGCCAGTAAAGACAGATAGCAGGTAGTGGCTAGAATTTTATTTCTTAAAGACAAAAAGGGTTACTTGACTCATCACAGACATTCCCCAAACTCTTTGATCAGATTTGCACGTGGTTAGTAGCACCCCAGAAGCCTTTAAAGGCAGGAACTGCAATTCAAATCTCACTCTTGCTCTAAAAAAGGTTTAGGAAATCAGGCTGTGGAACAGAAATACCTCCCAGGATTGGCTCCTCGTTGACTTTGACAAACATGCTATTGTAGAAGCCATCATTATAAAGCAGCTATTCATAGAGCAGCTGGAGTCAATACACACAGTGGATAAAATTTTTCTGCTGTGGCTCAAACATTTTGCAGATTGGCAGCTGACAGCACTCTAATGAATTTTAAAGTACTGGTTCTCAAGTGAGATATCCACCAGCTCCAGATTCATCTGATAACCTGAAGGGAAATTGGATTGATCCCCTGTGTTGGCCTAACTGAAGTTCTTACTACGTGGTATTTCAGAATTGTGTTTAGAAACTGGGAATGAGGCTGCTAAAAAACTATTAAATCCAGTGATTGGTTTCCCCACAATGGAATAATTACATGCATTTAAAATTTCTGACAGAACTGTAGTTATGCCTTCACTAGAGATTTTTGAGGGAACTACTTCATTGGGAAAGTCAATTAGTTTGGTGTAAATATCACAAATTGCAGTTTCATTCTAAAAAAAAATTGCAGAAGAGACTGCACAAATTAAAATCAAGGGCAAAGGCAGACTTTGTCTGTGATTACTAAAAATGCTGTCTGAGCAGTCAGTTCTGACTCAAAGTTGCATCTGATTTAATTTGGTTTGCTTGGCACACAGAAAGGAAGGCAATGGTCACACCCTGCATCCCTGGCCTGGCCAGGGCACAATTCAGGCACAGCTTTCCCCTTTCATGGACTGCAAGAAATGTTTCGTGTTTCAAATCACAGCACTGGACATGCCACTAAGCCAAGACCCCTCTGAGAAGCTCTAAACACAACCCAGGCATTCACAGCAGTGCCTTCACACCAGAGCAGAGCAGGAGTCTTGTTTCTGGCAGAAACCAGAGAAGGGAAGGATGTGCCAAGATGCCACAGCAATTATCAACTTTGGCCATCCTCTCCTTATCCTTCCCCCCCAAAAAAAAAAAAGCAGAGAAATCAAAAGCTTAAGAGAATTAAAAAGCTAAAAACTCAACATCAGTAAAACGATTCCTACAGAACTATGGACTTATTGGCTTAACTGACTGTCCCAGGGACCAAAGCAAAGATTTTATCAGAATTCTGCAAGGGACTGGACACCTGTCAGATTAACATCCCTAATCAAAGTTAGTCACCTTATCCCAAACTATTGTTAACCTGTGTGAGAAGGCAGGAACCAGACACCAAGTTATTGGTCTGAAGAAAAAATTGTGCAGGCAAATTATTGATTGAACTGCCCATTCCTTGTCAAAGGACACTAAATCCAGGAGATTTAGTCAACATCAGAAAATCTGTGTCACACTGCTTTACACGGAGCTCTTGATTAATCTATCATGTGCTTCCCTTCCCCAAATCCTTTTTCTCAGGGAGCTGACCACAAGAGACCAGTTAAGAGAAGTGGGTTTCTGATTCTGAAGCAAATTTTTAGGTTGTTTTAGGTTGCCCAACAATCTTTGGGGATCTTCAGCACAAGCAGTTCATTTAGAACCACACACACACCACACACACCCAGGCTTCTTTCTGCAAGGATTGTCCTGCAGTCACCTGAACTCCCTCCTGAACTCCCTCCTCTCTCCCTGCACTGCCTTGCTGGAAATCCTGTCATGTCCTTTTCTGGATGTATTTGTATAAAATTTGTCTACGATGCAGAGCCTGAAACTGCCACCAAAAGCAGCAATTCAGCCTTTCTGCACTCACCTCCCACCTCCAACCTTTCTGTATGCCAGCTCTTCCTGGGATCAGGCACCTGACTGAGCAGGGAACCAATTTCACCAAGAAATAGCCTAAAAAGGGGGTAGGGGAGGCACATTTCAGCTGAATTGTGTCCCCAGCCTGGTCTGCTCCACGGCCAAGCAGTTCTGTGAGCAGAGTGGTGGGGCAGGGACAAGGATGGGAGCCAGGAACTGGGAAGAGAGCTCAATTTATTTCAGTAGCAGTGCCAGCTTAAGATGTCTTCATTAAACTACAGTTGCAGATGCACTAGGTGTTGGAAGCTGAGGTCCAAGTACACCTTGTCAAATTCTAAATAAAGGCAATGTACAGACAGAAACCTAAATAACAACAACAGGTAAGTCTGTGCTGAGAGCTGACAGATTGGCAATCACTTCAGCAGGCCCGACTGTCCTAACTTTTTTGTGGCATTAAGACATTTAGTCTTGAAGGTTGTTAAACTGTGTTTACCTGGGGGACATGGGCCATGTGTGGCGGATTGGTATATGCAGGTTGAACATGGGAGGGATGAATGGTGAAGACTGTTTGTTGTGCTGTAGGAAAATTGTTTTGTGGAGACTGCGTGTTGGAGCCTGGCGTCATGGAAGGAGGGGTTGGAGCTAGACCTGCGTGGTAAATCGCCGACTGCTGCTGGGGGTTGGCCAGGTGCAGGGCCTGGGCAGCCTGGTGCTGGTGGTGCTGCAAGAAAACACAGAGATCATTGAGGTTAGGGCTGGGGAATGACATTGATCCTGTTAAGGAGAAAGGAGTGGGAAACTGCTCTCGACTCCAAATCTGTAAATGGTGACTCTAAGGATCACCCGTGCTCGTGGGGAAACTCTTTACAGCCACGTCAGGCTCAGCTTCTGCTGGCAAACAGAGCCCAGAGTGCCAGGTAAAACCATGCAGAACCTGGAGCTGGGAGTGCCTCACAGCTGCAGCCAGCTATTCCCAGGAGGGAATTAAGGAATAGCAGCACTATCCCAAGGATCACTTTGTTTTCAGCTGCTTTGACAAAATCCAATCAAACACTTCTCAGCATTTATCTGCTATTTCCACTTCACCCATATGAAAGCACTGACACAATTATGATCCTTCCCTAACCCTTAAATCTGAAACATCCCCCATCCCCTGTGAACAGGGAAAAACGAGTGGTTGGACTCTGCTCAATCCCACTCTTTTTCGTCTCAGAGAAATCAATACACCACCATCAAACACCATTAAGCTGCAACCCCTTAAAAACACAATTAAACACAACTTGCTCGGGCCCTGGGTGGTGTTACCTGCACGGGGCTTGGAGCAGGGTGGCTTCCAGCATGTTGGCTTTGCTGCTGGCCAGTTGGGGTGGCAGAAGGCTGAGGATGCGGAGGATGCGGGTGCAGGGTAGCATTAGGGTGGGCATACTGCTGAGCAAGTGAGCCAGTGGAAACTAGGATGAAAAAGAGGAAAATTTAACATCAGGTTCAGGATGTGCACCTCGATCAAGTCACCATCTGCATTTGAAGATTTCACTACAACTCAGTCTGTAAATATATTCCCTCCCCCTTCTAAAAAAAAATACGGATTTATCTTGCAAATAGCTGATGATCTTACCTTGCTTTTGTGTAGTTTGGTTTGGCAGGAAAGTCTATAAACAACCATAATTAGACAGTTCATCTTCCCTAATTTGACAATGTAACAGATACATAGAGAAAAGCAGTATTTTATCTTTTGTTTTGTCAAACAGACCAGTTTCAAAGATCAAATTTATAATTTTCATACAATTTAGGATTTCCTGAGATATACTTTTCAAAGGTGTTACGAGCCATTTTTATTTCCACCATCCAAAAAAAATTCTTTGGCCTTATACCTGGCTAACCTCACCATGCTACTCTTCTGGAAATTGCTCACAGAACAGTCAGAGGGAAGCACAAACTCTGCCCAGAGTCAATAAACACATCACAGCTGACAAAACTGAGGCTGCTCGAGCATCAAATTTTTGCTGAAGCCACTTTCTTGTGCTAAAATAACCCATTTTGCCTCTGCCCTCGAGGCCAATCTGTTCTGGATCACCACCATCCTGTGAGTTCCCCAACACTGCCACGGAATTCTTCATTCCTTGAATCAGAAGCAAATAAGGTAAAAAATTCCCAAAAAGGAAGAAACTGAACAACAGAAAACTTTTACCCCAGTGAAGCCACATCTGTTGCTACAGCCCTGCCAGTCTCCAACAACAAACACACCAAGTTCCTTTTTGGATCCTGCTCTGTCTTGTTTCCAATGGGCCACAATAATTCCTGTTGGTTTTTTTTTTAAAAAAAACTTTTGAGGGAATCTAAGCAAGTATGAAAAGCCATAATGACAACACATCTTCCTTTCAACACAAAGCATGCACGTAAATCCAGGACCCTAAAAATGAGGATATTTCCCCTATTTCTTTTAGGTCTTGTGCAACAACCAGGCCATGTCTGCACCTACTTCTGTGTGTGACAACATGTGTTAATCCCTCTGATGTCACAGAGCCTGAAAGACCAAGGAGAGTTTTGCTGACCAAGTGCTAAAAAAGCAAACAGCCAAAGAAAACCATCAGCCTGCTCCTCAGTATTTCCTTCAACTGTTCCTTATTTGTTTTGGTGCCTTTTGGTGGTTCTGAAGTTAATTACTGATGAGTATCTACCAGATTATATCTGTTTTTTAATGGGGTTGGTATTATATAAGAACTTGGTGGTCACTGCAGTTTTCCTCCAGTCTGGTTTGCTATAAACCTTACAAATCCAAGTTCTGACACATTTCAACTCACCAGAATACAGAGAGCCAGGATATTTTTGCCTAATTTAGGTTTTTTTCTCCCCTGTGCAGGTTTCCTCCTTTAGAAAATAACTGCCTGCCACATTTAACTTAATCCCTGGCAAGCTCTATTAAATCTTCACTGAGCAAATGGCCTCGCAGTGATGAGCAGTTTCAGGCTATTAATGCAGATGAACCAAATTCCTGCAGCCTGGAGTTGATCCTAATGTTCTTATCCACATCTGCAAGCACAGTTGTACAATCTGAGACCTCCTGATTGAGAGGGGTTTCAAAAACACCTCAATATTTTCTAAGCACGCTGTCAAAACCAGCAGGATCTTGTGTCACAGCATTTTGTTATGCTTTAAATCCAAGTATTTTTGATTTCTTTTTTTTTTTTTGTATCACTACTAAAATGTATTTTGCAGCAGCATCCCTGCCACGCTCCTACTTGACTTTCAGACATCTCTGACAACACCAAAATTATCAGTGGCAATGCAACACTGATTATTTTTACAGTACCAAGTTTATGGCTTTCTACAGGAGGAAAATTTCTCAACCTCATTATTATAAACACTCTGAAGAAGGCCAGAAATTATTATCTTTGTCAAAGTAATAGAAATAAATGGAAGGAGGGATTATTTGCTTGCCAAAGGGCACATTAGACCAGCAATCCTCCCAGTGCCTCAGCCACAGAGCTGGCAAGCCTCACCACAAATTAACTCCACCTCCATTCAAGAGGCTTTAAAATGTATATGAAATTTAATTCCAAGTTGTAAGATACTCAAGGTTTCCCACAACACTTATTAAGAGGCCTCAAAATAATGTGGGACTCCATGAAACCATTTGTACAATTTATCTTTTGGTTCTTTATGGCCAAGAGAATAATAAACTCAGTTGTTCTGAAGCAGATATTTCTACAATAAAACTTTACAATAAGGAATTTCTCTCTTAAGACACCAGTTAAACCAAGGAATAGCACCCTAAAGTACAGATATAAACCAAGAGGATCAGGTTTTTGTCATAGTGGCAGCTCTTCCAAAACCACCTAATATTTTATCCATAGCTTTGGATTTGAAGCACTGGACTTTTTTATACTGAAGAATATTTATTTTTCTAGTTTCTCCTCTCCTTCATTTTGTCTTTAGCAGATCACCCTAATGACCAAATTTGTAGGGCTTAAAACCACTTCAGATGCTGCTGCAAAATATGTTTTAAGAGTAATATTAAAAATGCCTTTCAAAAAATGTTATCTGGGCACTTCTCTAAATCCTGGCCAGTTCCTGCACACAAACCAAGAACGACTCAGCAGGTCTGAAATGCATTCCCAGCTCAAAACCAGAGTTCAGACTCCAACTCCAGCAGTGTAAATGGTTTTTCATGTTTAGTTTGTGCAAGTAATTCATGCCAAGCCAATGAAATCTCTGAGACCAGCAGGGCTGTCAAAGGAGTCTTGTAAAAGCCATGAAAAATTCACCTGCTCAGCCAGAACTAAAACACTTTCCCTGGGATTTTTTTAAAGGAATTTTTGCCTGGTCATCAAAACAGCTCACTACACAAATTATCAGCAAATAAGACAAGACAGGAGGTGAAAAAAAAATAAAAAAGACCCATTATCCAACATTTTCCCCCAATTCTCAGTAATTTTGATATTTTCTAAATGGCCACCTATTACCTGAGAACGTGCCAGGAAAGCTCTGGGAAAGGACACACCTTGCTGCAAGTCACCTCAGCTCATTCCAGCACAAATACACTGAGTTTCTCAGCCTTTCTGCCCTAAATTCCTCTGCCTGGCCTGACCTCCTTCACTTCTGCATCTTTCTAATCAAATTGGTTCTGATGTGAGATATTTCACTGCACTGACCTGGCAGGGATGGGAGCGACTCAGTCACGGAATGGGAGAAAAACATCACAGGGATTGAATTACTGAATTCAACTCTACAGAACTGCACCCCCTTTCTGAGAGCAAACAAGAAGTAGTCAGCCACAGAACCCACAGAAGGAGCTGAAATCAGAAGAGGTCAGAGCAGCAGAAATCAAGCAGAACTCAGCTACAAGGGAATATGTGAAACCACATTGTGTAATTTTGTAATTTTGTCTTTTCCCTGGAATTTCAATGGTGCCAATGGTGGTCAGCGTTGGTCATGGTCCAAAGATGCATTGAAGAGCCTATTTTCAAAAACTGACCAGTGAACAAACTTCAACATTATTGCCAGAGCCAGTAAGATGGTGAGGATAACTACATTTAAAAGACCTGAATGGTAGGAAGCAAAGAAATAGCAAATGTTTCTTTCATCATACAAACATTTCAAGAAGTCATTTTACACAAGTAGAGTGGACTTCAAAGATAATCCAAGAAAGGAACGAGGTTATTGAAGTGATTTCAGTGCACCAAACCAAGAGGCATGAACACAGCACAGGTCAGCATCCTACAGAACCAGTGTGGCACAAGAAATCTGCTCCAGAGGAGATTTTTGGAGAACAAGTGGTTTTTCTCACATCCCTCTTGCATGAGCTAATGCAAAAAAAACCAAAAAAACAAAAAACCAAAAAGCAACCAAAAAAAAAAAAACAAACAGGAGAGTGCCTGGCATGAGCTGCACAGACTTACAGACAGACACAGCAACAAATGCCACGGCAGGACAGGAGCAAGAACAAAAACAGCCTGAAACTGCAACTCCTCCTTTCCCCTGTCCTGGGTGAGAGTTCATCCTGCAAGCACCCTCCTCAAACCTCAGCTTCCTCAAAGCAGCTGCTGAACACCAGCAGGCAGGGCAGGATTTTGCAGTTCTCTGCCTTTCCTGTACGTGTGGAGGAGCTGGAGCAGCTCACTGCTGTGTCCAGGGAGCACCAGCTCCTCTCCCAGTGCCTCCAGAGATGCTGCTCACCAGCCCAGCCCCAGCCCAGCTAGGGAGGGAACTGAGAAAGTTCCAAGGAGCCCTCATCTCATCCCTGGCATACAATCATGACCACAAGTTGTTCCCAGCACTCCTTCAGTGGCAGCTCTACAGAAAACTTCCTCCACCTCGGCTGCAGCTCGAGTTATTTCCTCCTAGGGGCTCAAAACCTGAGACACGGCTTTTTAAAGGGATGAGGTCCAAGTTGTTTCTCCTTTTAGGAAGTTGGTAACTCGTCAGGTGTAAAAATTCTGTTTGGCTCATGAAAGGGAGAAACCAGCTCTCACAGGTTTAAGTAGAGGCAACGGAATCACAGAGTGGTTTGGGTGGGAAGGGACCTTCAGGATCATCTTGTTCCACCTCCTGCCACGGCAGGGACGCCTTCCACTGTCCCAGGCTGCTCCAAGCCCCATCCAACCTGGCCTTGGACATTTCCAGGATGGAGCAGCCACAGCTTCTCTGGGCATCCTGTGCCAGGACCTCACCACCCTCACAGGGAAGGATTTCTTAGAGCCCACTTCTGGCTGCAGATGAAAAGACTGGGTAGTGAAATCAGAGATTTTTTCATAGTCAAAATAAATTTTTGAAGAATTGACAACTCAGCTTCTTGTGATCATATAAATTTGTTGCAAAGCTCCATTCCCTGCTCACTGAGGAACCTTCCTGCGTTTTCCACATCCTGGTTTGGTGCAAGGAAACTTGTTCCCTCAACACGTCCCATTCCTTTAACATGTGGTTCTTTAGAAAGTGCTTTTCTGTACAATCAAAATTAGTACAAAAAACCCAACTCACTGGCAAAGTAGAAAGAAGGGCCTGTCTCCTTGCTGTATGGTATTTTGGGACATGCTGAATTTGGGAAATAGAAAGGTAAATTAGCCTCTTGCCAAGCGCATACTTCCCATCTTCTGGAAAGGTCAGTGTTAGTTTTAATTTTTTAAATTATTTTTTTGAAGACTCTAGAACCATGCAGATATTTTTATTCACTTAGCTGCTATTAGGGCTAGATATTTTGTTTTACAAATGAGTGGAGTAAGTCTCGAGTAAGCCTTCCTTCTTAACTCTGACTCTGAGGTCTACAGTTCTTAATTAACACAAAATAAAAGCTTTATGTCAATTCATGGTCTATTACTGTCCACTGTAACAAGAAGGTTAAAATGCAGTTACACTAGAGCAGAAACTGGCCCTTGCTTTTTCAGCTATAGCACTGCCATTCTGAACAGTTCCAAGACAACTTTGGTGACTGGTTCACTCTTAGTCCCTGGAGAATCCTCTGAAGTTTATATTATATCCACCATTGTACTATCAGGGGAATAGAATTTACTCTACTGCTGAGACAGAAACCAGATAAAGTTAGAGACAACACCAGACCAGTAAAACATGCAGAAGGGGAAAAGGGAAGGGAGAACGGGGACAGGAATGAGAGCACAAAAAACAGGAAATGCATCTATGTAAAACCAAAGTCTGGTTTTACACAAGTTCTTAAACACAAAAGTTCAGTTTTTCAGAGGACTCCAATTATCTGGAAACAATTCAGCCACACAGAAAAAAACCACAAGTTCAATGTCACAGGAATGGACAGATCCACCCCTCTACTTGGTAACCAAATTTTCTACCAGCAGCAGAAGCCTGGTCTGGGCTTTGTGTGACACAGGAGCCAAACTGGGACCGTGGCCAGCAAACTCCAGCAGCCCAAGGACAGGGACTGGGAGGCCACCCCGAGCCAGCAGCTGCCAGACAGACACAGAACCTCCTGAACCCAAGGTGCAGCTGAGCAGGGGAAGGATGACACCTCCAGGTCGGCTGTGTGGCAGGTAAAGGTGTCACATTTCAAACTCTCCATGGCTCCGCAGCTGAAGTGTCACAGACGTTGTTATCGTCTGGCTGGGAAGAAAGTTGTTTGGACTTGGTCCTTCCCCATTTTGAGGGGAAAACCCCAATGATCTGAACACTCCTCTGTCCTGTCTTTAGCTGGGGTTACTGGGACCATGCAGCTCTGCTTCTCTCTCTTGGCAATAGCAGGGTTGTGACACTGTGAGCTGGCAAGGAAATCCCAGAAGTGCAGGAATATCCCAATAAACAGAATTAGACAAAAATAATTTTCTTTAAAATGGAAGGGTGCTTATCACCCAGTGTAGGTCACTGTATGTAATTTGGATTCAGCTATCTCTTCACGAGACAGGAAGGAAAATAACCCCAAAATTCTGGCAGTGAGGGTGGTTCCCTTAAAATCGACAGGAATTTCTTTTGGCTGCCAGGCTGTTACTATTTGCCACAGACTTTCAACTCGTCCCAAACCATTAGTGAAGGTGGAGTTTCAGATTCTTACCAGAAAACATTTCACACCTTAGGAATACTTGATAAGCAGTTTCCCCCCAACCCCCAGGTCTCAGCACAGAAGTTCTTGCAGACATCTTCTCTCTACCACATATGCAGGAGAAAAACTGAGTGAATTTTGCAGGAGTAACTCAAAGCAAGCACCAGTACCTTGAAGAGTAAAAGGGCAGCGTGGCCCACTGAATCCTGATATTAGTGCTAAAAATAAGTAATAATATATATTTTAAAAATCAGATAGCCATTTTTAAGAGTCAAAAGGGAAATTGTTTAAGCAAAATCAAAAGCAGCAGCGGTGGTTGTTTCTCAGGAAGTTGTTATTCTGTACTTTCAAATTAGTTTTTAAAAGAGGACCAGAATCAAATTGCACAGGTATATTTAGTTCAAATGTGGGTAAACTTAAGATTCCCAAAAGACAGCACATAAGTTATGGATATTTTCTTATAGTCACTCAGTCAGATGTGAACAATTCCAACATGATGCTCTTTAGCTCCATAAGCAGCTCAGATTGGTCACCTCTGCCATTCCTGCCTTTTCCCACACATGGATAAATGGAAGCTGAAGTGGACACGTTACAGCTGGACACACTTTGAGGAAGCACAGTCTGTCTGGGCCAGGTCTTCAGGCACTCAGCACATGCAAGACTTGCAAAAATGTGAATTGAGAGGCTGCTGCAGAACATCAGGAGTCATTCCATGTGTCACTGTCACCTTGGAAGGTGAAGGGTACATTTGAGACAGTTCCATGTTCACTAAACACGTCTGCACAGGGGCAAGAACACACCCTTAAAAAAGGTCTCACATGGAGTTCATGATCCTCTTGGGTTCAATGGTTTCAGTAACAAAAATTTCAAGCATTCCATCATTTACTGGAAGGTGGGAGAATATTTAGAAGAGTCACCAAGTAGCTACTTGAAAGAACACAGGAGGACAGGCCATTTCTGTTAAATTAGGTGCTCTTGGGAAAGTAATATTTAATTACATGGCAGGAAATACCAAAGAATTCTCAAGTTTGACCCAACTGAGTTGGTTGCACTGGCAGGTAGTCACATATCTACAACAGACAAGCTGCAAAACCAACACAGAATGAGATCTAACAGTTGTAAGTTAGAATATCAGTGAAAAAAAAAAACTATACAGACATCTGATCAAAGCCAAGCAAGGCAACGGGCATGTACTTCAACGCTGCAGAACCCACTGATTACAGAAGATAAGGATGGTGCACAATGGGAAATTGCTAGAAAGTCACATGCAACCATTCTGAATCAAACCTCAGATTATCTCATGTTTGGTTTTATTTCATTAGAATTTGAGAGGAGGGTTTTCACCAATAAAGGTCTGAAAGCCTTTGAGCATTTGCTTTATCGGAATTCTATTTAATCTAATGAAAAAGCAAAGAGAAGATCTGTTTACATGGACACCTCAAGCACAAGAGTTGAAAAGATCAAAGTAATACAATTAGCAAGGACCTGTGAGAGAAAGATTAATCTCTACAAGTAACTTCCATTTCAGCTTCAGCACAAATGAGCTCAAATGTTCTTCCTCTGAGCGTCAAAATAAGTTATTTTTGTTTCTTAGCTCTGTTACCACACCACTGCAGAAATCTGACAAGATGTTTTCAGAGGGGCAAGACACCTCTTAAAATCAGAATTAATTTTCCACTAAACTCCAGATTCTCTGCAAGTTTTCATGACATGTCATGCACTTCCATTAAGTAGTAGTGTAAAACTAAGCACCCGAAAACATACAAAGATGTCTAAAGGTACAGAAAATCTTTTATTAGAATCTAAGCCAATAATATACGTGACCCAATAAAACTTTTCCTCAGATGCTATAACAAGTATTGAAATGCCATGTTTTCAAGAGACCATCTGCTGTTTTGACATTTTATGACAATTTCCAAGCCTTAAACAACCTTGACTCTACCTCTTTCAATAGCATGTTGTGCAGTGAGCTCTTTTTCCTCCAAACTGGGCCTTGATTTATCATACATTTATAATGCTTTAGAAAGTTCTTGCACATTTTACTTTTGTCACAAGGTAACCCACATTTTCAGCACTTCACTGTAAGTGAAAAATGCCCATCTGATAATGCTAGAGACTAATTGTCCAAGTGAGAACAATACATGAGCTGTTGCATTTACTTATTCTTGACTTACCAAATGAGAAAGGTAAGCAACACATGGTTTATTTTGCTTAAACAGCAGTGTTCATACTGTTAATAATGCCAGTAGTATCATAAAGACAGCATTTCACTAGTTGCCAGAACTAAAGTCAAGTTTGAAACTGAGGTCATAACCTTGCAATAAAACAAGTACTAATTATAATCAAGGAACAAACAAGGGATGATGTATCAAGAGCATCAAGAGAACTTGAACAAACTTCTTTCAGCAGATATTCTTTAGCAGCTCCCAGGTTGAAATCTCATCTTGGTCACTGGCATCCTACCGAAATCAGCACACTTGAGTTTTCATTTGAACCAGCTGGCTCAGTTTTCAATGCTCTGCTCATCATCACCATCATCATCTTATGAAATATAAACCACATCTACTGAGATACCCACGTCTGAAGGCTGAGATTAAATACATCCCCTGCACAAGGTAAGGACTTAAAAAGTTACATATAACACAAAACGTTTCCTACCATACATAGCATGTGTCTGTTCATGCGCACCGTACTGTGTTGCAGAGGAAGATACTAAACCCGGCTGTGCGTGTGCTGGTGGGGCCATCATCCTAGCGTTGCCCTGTATTACAGGGCTATAAACATGAGGATGCTGCAGGCAGAACAAAGGAAAAAAAAAAACAAAACACACAGTTAATGGGGTTAACAATTAACTCCAAAGAAACTTTTGTCATCTAAACAGTCGGGATTGAAACGCCGGCAGCTCGGCCTTGCTCAAGCACACAGCGAGCTGAGGATTTCACATTGTGATTGTCCCAGCTGTTTCCAAAATTTAAGGGCTAGAAACTGACAGCAAACATGGGCAATTTTACCACTCTAATAATGCACTAAGCTTATACATTTATCTAATTACGCATGTAGATTAAACAGCCTTTTAAGTAAGAGCAGTCCACCAATAAGTTATTTTTAGAACACTTAACCAGGAGATGTGCTGGCCACGACCTAAAGAAATTCTTCAAAGAGCTAAAAAACCATATCAATAATAAATGCCAACTTCTAAACTGACCTTAAAATTTGTTAGGACATTAAAATTCATTAGGACCTTAAAATTTGTTACAGGCTTTGAAGCACATTCCAAGATCACCACGTGTGCTCCAGAACACAGAAACTCTTCAGGGTGACTCAGGACAGGACACAAGGGGGTTATTTAGCTCTGAACCACTTCATTATTTGTGCTTGGATTGATCAGGAGCATGGAAAGGACTCTTACCTGAGATTGGTAGTGTGGCACATGCTGCACAAGAGGCTGATTAGGAAACTGTTGGGGGCTATATGCAACATATTGTGTAGAGTAAGCAGGTGGAGTAGCTACAATTGGAGGGCCTGCTGCTGAGGCAGGATGCATCATGGTGCTCTGGTGGTGTTGGTCTTGCCGCTGCTGGGGCATATTTGGTACTGGAAAACAAAGATTGTCTCATGTTAGAAACATAGAGAAAAAATTTGGAGCTTCCTGAAAGGTTCTATGTTATAATAATGTTACTGGGACCATGTGGAATGTCCTCACCCCACACCTTTAGCCATGGGTTAGAGCTCTGTCAAAAAGCAACAGTGTGAAAAGGAGTTTCTCCAGGAAACATTTGATTTTCACCACTGCCTTTGGGCTGGATATACACAGCCACAAACCCAGCCCTGCCCTTTTTGTGAAGGAAGAAAGGTGGAGAGAGAGAAAGACTGACCAGAATCAGAAGTGGAAGAGAAAGGTTATATTAGGATAGCTATATTAATCAATTAATCCTGCCCCCTTTAAAAGGCTTTTTCACCCTCTATGGGAACAACTCTGCCACTGTTCCATCAGCTGGAAATCTGAGTCTTTATGTTAAAATGACTCAAGCTTATGGCTGAGGAGGGCACAATAAAGGTCTCCACCCAGCCACAACTCGAGGTATTCACATCTTTGAGCTCTGTGCTATCCCTCAGGTAGCAAAAAGCAAATTTTAGGTCACAGACAACACTGAGGGAGACAAAACCTATAAGGAGTAGGAATAATTAAGAGAGAAGAAAGATGAAAAGAGCAGAGCAGTGTGGGATCACCTGAGCTCTCCTGGGAAGGTGACCACCCAACTCACTTGGAACAAACTAATTCAGCCTATAAAACATGGGCTTGGGAGCTCCAGGAGAGCTCCAGGAGAACTCCAGCTTCCTGCAGTCAGGCTGCAGCTATTAACAGAGCTACCTCAAGCTCCTCTAAATCCCACTGCAGGGGCAGTGCCCCAAATCTCTTAGGGAGAGGAGAGGGAAATGTTGAAAACATCCATAAATTCACTCAATGATTTTATTTATGCTGCAGATCAACAACAGAAAGAAGTAAATACAGGAGGCAACTTGAACAGTGTAAAGCCACAGAGCTGTAGCCCAGGCAGCTCCCACAGGGCTGTGCTGCACACAGGTGGATATCCAGGAAATATTGGAACTTCAAAAGGAACTCAGAATTGGAGCTGCCTCACCCAGCAAGCAGCACTCAGCAATGTATTTCTGAGTAAAACAGTGTTACTAACCAGAAGATTTCAGGGGTGAGGCCACAGTGAAGTTACTGTGTTTTAACACAGAAATACATTGCAGGGTTTTGTCTCCCCTAGGTTGATAAAGGCCACTTGTTTGTTTCTAAAGAGCAGGAAACAATTTCCTCCTGCAGTGACTGGAGCTGCAGTGCTGGTCCTGTCCTGCAGCACTGGCTGCCACTGCAGAAGCATTCACTGGGCACACTTACAGCATTCCCTGGAACAGGAGCACAAGAACAAGAGCAGCACTTTCTGCTCCCTCACTGCCCTGCCCAGCACAGGGAACATCTCACCACCCATCAGGACTCCACAGCCACGGGTGTCACTTAAACACGTGGCATTGTCATTGTTAGTCCAGCTGTTCAGTCACTGGGGCAGCAGGAATGAACAAGAACAAACTGGAACCAGCTCTTTCCAGAAGGGCAGCAGAGCAAACTTTTCCTGGAAAAATAGTGACTCTGCATGTTGTTAAAAACCACCACTATTAAAGCACCAATTGGGGCACTGCTGAAAACCAGCACAGAAAACCAGCAGAGAAGTTCCCTTTAAACAAACCTGTAATATTTATGAAAAACAGGAGATTATCAGCTCACCCTAAAGCTCCAAGTAACAAAGATGTTTTCCTGTTTATCAAATCACATTCCAAACCAAGCAACCCCCCATTACTCAAACCTGGCATGTTTTAACTGAATTCATTTATCTAAAAATCCATTAGTATTTCCACTTACTTCCCCTTAATAAAAATAGCATTTAAAATATCGATTGAAACCAAATTGCCATGGATTAGAAAACACACAAACATTTGTCATTTAGCCATGCTGCATGCAGACTGAGAACCAAACAGGCAGTATTATTCTCACCTTTACCTGCTCTATATGTCTTGGCTTGGTTCACTGGCATGGGCGTCATGGGAATAGGATACAAAGGCTGAAACAGAAGAAGTTGAAGGTATGATATTCCTTTAAAAACTCAAGTGTGTGCTGGGATGGGGGCCCCACTCAGCTTTGATGTGTTTCCCTCTGTTCTGCTGCAGGGTTTAGTGAACTCTGCCTAACCTATGAGATTTTCTTGGATCAGTGTCATTAAGTCTGCATGGACACACAACTAAGACCAGATGGTTGGCAACAACCAGCCCAGGAATGCTACTGCTGCTACTGCAGGCACTGGGCTCAACCTGACAGCCTCAGAGCAGCTTTTTGGTATAAAGCTGAGTCAGGAGAGCGTTAGGCTGAAGGATCAGGGAAAGGTTCTACCCCCAGAGGGTGCTGGGGCACTGCCCAGGCTCCCCAGGGAATGGGCACAGCCCTGACGCTGCCAGAACTCCAGCAGAGGTTGGACAACGCTCTCAGGGGCAGGGTGGATTGCTGGTGTCTTCTGCAGGGCCAGGAGTTGGGCTGAAGATCCTTGTGCATCCCCTCCACCACAGGATATTCCATGATTCTACGATAATGGAACTACATTTGAAATCCCAGTGATCCCTACAAAAACCAGAAACCAGTGGGACACAGCTGGAAACAAATAAACAGTTGCAGAGAGTGAGAAACTATGCTTGGAGAACTGGGAGGAAACCTGCACAGATCCACAATAAATGTGGGCTGCAGGCATTTACAAGTGTTTGGAATAATTTGAACATCCAGATTGAGGGAGCACTGGGAAAAGTCAGTATATACACAGCCAAAACTTAACAACAACCTGATTTATATTTACAAGAGCAATACAAGCTGTACTATTTCACTGTTTTAACTCACAGCTCCCAAGCTGCTGATCTTTAAAGTCCTTCCCAACCCAATCCATTCTATGATTCCTAAGCCTGCTCAGCTTCCTGAGGATCTCTGTGAAGTGTTGAGGAGTTTGCAGCACTTTACCTGCACGCCTGGACTCACTGGAACCGGGTACATCATATTTGGTGCAAAACAAACAGGCTGAGTGTACACGGGGGTTGGCTGCTGATGCCCCACCATGGAGGGGCTGGGCTGAGCTTGAGGACGAGGGGAGGTTGGTGTAGTAGAAGGTTTCGGCTACAAACAGAGGTGAGCAACCAGGGTTAGTTTGAGTATCCTCTGAGGAAAAGGTTGGCTTATAAAGATCTACTCAAAGGCACTGATAAACAGCATCACATCACTTACTTGAGCAAAAGATCGAGGGTTGAACTCTTTAGCATTAGGATTAAGTGTTGATTTTCTAACTTGCCTAAACATAAAGAACAAAACATTAAGTTGGGCATTATTCTTTTACAGGAGTATCTGCAATTAATAATGTAAGAAACACCTCATTTCTATCTGTGAGTCAGATTTCTGAGAAGTCAAACACCTCATGGCATACAAAAAACCACTCTCATTGAGGGACTCTTACTACAACTACCCACAAAAGTTTTCCAATTGATAACACAGCTTATGTGAGCCAAGAAAACATTGAAATAAGCTTTCAGAGATGAACCAGGCATCAAGAGGACCAGAGCTCTGCACTGAATCAGGAGATGACTTTCAGGGCAGTCCCCTGTGTAACAGCACCTAGAGCCAGGGATGTGTCACCCAGCCATGACTTCTACACAAAGTCTGGTGTTATAATAAAAATGTGCTTATTCCAAAAGGCATGATTACTCACTCAGAAGTATCCTTCTTCTCCTCTTTATCCTCTTTGTCTTGTTTACTTCCAGGCCCAGATGTCTGTACACCTTGGGAGGTCACCTCAGGCCCACGCTTTTGCTCAGAGCTGTTACTCATGGAAGGAGAAATACTGGGACTGTTGGGTTTGCTACTGCCACCATTGGAGTTGGTGTTACTGCCAGCTTCTATGATAGATTCTTTAGGGGTGGATTCTGTCTTTTCTTTAACTACATCTCTTGATTTTTCACCTTCTCGGGTTTTGTTTAGCAGCTGATCCACTGCATCTGAAGAGGAACTGGACTGTAACTGAAAAAACCCAAGGGATACATTCAGTAAATTGATACAAAACTAAAACACAGTCCCACAAGCCTCCATCATCTGGAAGTGACCTTTTAAAACACTCGTTTCCATTTCTACTAGGAAAGAAATCCATGGGCACTGACAGTGTTTAAGCTGGCACTGTGTAAGGAGCCACTCAAGTGACCTGTAGGTTGATTAAGGAGTGACAGGAAAGCTTCAGACAACCCTCTGGACTCATCATCCCCTGAGTGATTTATCAGCACCACTTGAAAAGCTAACCTGATTTAATAAACCCTTATAACAAGGAAATAAGTAATATGAATTCATCTTCAATTTTCCTCCACAAAACTCTTCATTTAATTTTGCAACAGCTCCTCCATATGGAGTGTGAGATAATTATTTGTGCCTAATGATCAAACAGGTTTCAAGTCCTGCTTTCAGTGCAGTCAATATTCACATTTATGTGCATTAGGCAATTGTACAAACAAGAGTCAGCATTGATTTTACAATACCTAACATGAATTCTTACAGATATTTTCATACATTAGGCAAAAGTATAAAGACCTGTTAACACAGGCAGTGTGTTCAATTCATTAAAATAATCTGGATGCACATGAGAATGATGACACCACTAACAGAGACAAACTTACCCTAAAGTCATTCTTAAATTTCTTTAAATCATCAATCTGTTTTCTATGCTCTGAAACAATTGGAGAGACACCTGCCAAATACAAGATCAACATTGTCCAAGCATTTCTAATACAAATTTTATACACATTACTAAGTTTGCAGAAAGAGAATGGTTTTGCAGATATAAAAATGAAATCCAGCACCTTATTTTGGGTTTTAATTTGGTACAATTCCATGACCTACGTGTATGAGCACACAGAAAGCCTCTGTGAAAGCAGAGCATTACATAACTGATTTATCTTTAGTTCTGATGCACCACACCAAGGCAGAAGCCCCGAGGTGCAGGGACTGCAGAACTCACTGAACACAAAGAACATGCAACAAAACCCCCAACCCAGCCTGTGCCAGCATTTCAAAACACAGCAAGTGAAGGAGAAACACTGATCAAGGTGAGCTTTATGGCTGGACTCATCCTAAAGGTCTCTCCAATGAGAGAATGAATGAATCTGGTTCTCAGTTTAACAACATGAAATGTTTTTTTTTTTTTTTGAGAACTGAATGAACAAACAACTCTACAGAGACGAACAAATGTAAGGCATAATAGGAAAAGCACAGTTAAAAAAGCTCTGCTGACCACGATGCTCAGAAGTATTGTGAGCACAGCTCTAAGCAGAAACATATTTAGTCCAAAGGCAGCTAAAAAGCAGCTCTGTGAGCAGAGGAAAGGAAGAAGGGGGAAAAAAAAAAAGAAAAAAAACAAGTGAAATCACACCACATGAGCATCTCTACATTTGGTGTTGATGGAGTGAGTCACAAACAACATTTCAAAGTGCCACTTCACAACTGCATGACCAAAGTTTACTGTAGAACACCAGAATGCCTCCAAGCCTTCCTTAAAATGCCAACTAGAGCAGCAGGACAGCAGGTTTAGTGTGCACAATTCCTACATCACTCGAGTACATGAAAGCTTTGGATACAAACCTTTGTTTTCAGGTTTAGAAAAACTAGGAGAAGTCTCACTTGGCTTTATATTCTCCTTGTTTCCAGTTGCAGAATTTTGCCTCTGGTCCTGAAGCCTTGTATCTTTAGCTGGAAAAGAAATTGCCAATATGTTCTCTTATACACCACTCCAACTGACCAAAGAGAAGGCAGGAGAGAAACAGGGAGAGATTTAACTACTTTTAGCTTGAAAAACCTTTTAAGTTACACATTTCCTGCTACCTAGTTGGTGCCTGGAGGATCATCCTCCCTCATCCTCCCTCTCTATCCTACTGTCAAATGAAAAAAAAAACAATTAAACTCATCCCTCTCTTCATACACAAAACCTTAACCACACTAAAAAAAATATACACTAATAGCCAATTATTTTCAGCAGTCCAAGCTCTTCATAGAGAATGCTACAAAGATTTGAAAGCTCTTAGACATTTGACTGTGCTCCTGAAGGGGTTTTTTCCCCCATTCCTTTTGCTGTGTTTGAAAACAGCGGCCTACGTTTCTTTAACTTAAAAAAAAGGCAAAAACTCATTTTGGAAAAAGAAATCCTCGATTAATCCTCAGACACCTATAAACCCATATTCCTTAAGGGCACAAGAAACTAAGCATAGAGACTTCTAAACAAGCCTCTCTCCAACCTTAGTCTAAAGCTGGAGAAATGGGAACTCACAGTAAAGTTAAATGTATCCCAAGCTTTCCTATGATTCAGCAAGCAGCTGTGCTCTTGCCTGGGCACATTCCTTGTCAGGAATTAGGGAAAGGGAGCATTTGCAAGGTACTGAGAGCCACTTACCTTCGTTGGAAGGGGTGACTGCTCTGTTGGATGCAGGGCTGGCAGGTGTAGGAGAGGCAGCTGGAACAGGCATGGCAACAGATTCAGTGGGAATAGTACCAGGCTGAGGAGAAGGCAGAGCTGGTCCCATGGGAGTGCTGCTCTGCCTTGGAGACCTAGGCCTGTGTGTTTTAGGGGATAATCTCGGAACTAGAAACAAACAGGAAAAAGCAGTTATAGGATGAGCTTCCCCATCTGCTCAGCAGTTTGTTTTAGTTTTTAAATGGCTACAAATATGCTTTGAACACTTTGTGAGGTATTATGTAAGAACTGAAAACCTGTTTACCTTTCAGGCACATCTCCTAGCTCCTTACAACGCAGCATTTCATAGAGAACGGGGTGATTTCTCTGCAGATTGTCCCCAGAAAAATTACCACTGCCCTCTAATCCCACCAAGAATCTGCAAAATACTTCCCCAAGTCCCCAGCAGTACAACTACAACAGCTCACATTAACCCAGTTTCAGGCAGAACACAAAAGGTGGTCAGGTCTCCACATAAAAAGATGTAAAACATTTTTTAAAGAGGGCTGAAAAAACACATCCATTTTACAGCGTCCTCTTTTGGGGGTTTGCCAGCTGGAAAAAAAAAAAAAAAACCCAATGAAAAAAGAGTGCTTTTAGGTATATTTTTGCCCCTGTGTTAAAGCAGCAAGGAAAGCTCTGTATTCTTTGAACAGTAAGTTGCAGTTCCTGCTTCCTGCTCATCCCACTTGTGCTTTTTTGTCACACATTATCTCCCAGTGAGTGAGCAGAAAGGCAGGCAAGTGGTTTAACAGTCCTACTTGCACATTAATAATATATAAACATGGAAGGTGGATCACAAATAATGCCACAATTGAAGAGTTGATGTTTTTTCCACAAGGCAACAAGCCTATGTGGGTCCAATTTATACCTTCTTTCTGAGAAATGTGTTCCCAACTACGCTCCTCCAGAATTCTGCACTGCTAAAAAATTCCCAAAAAGTACCTAAAAAGGACCAAACTGCTGCTCTCTTGTCCTCAAGGAAACATCCAGCTCCCGACAGCCCACCAGAACAAGGCCTCAACTCAAGAGCTCCAGACTAGACCTTTGGCACAAGACTGAGCTTTAAGTCAAATATTAAAAAAAATTACGTTAACTGATTAAAAATAAAGACACTCACTAAAACTGCTCCTACAGTAGCCAAGAACAACATCACCACTTAAAATCCATGTAAATTTTAAAGGAGAAGTACATCCAACTTAACCTTAGTATCAATTCATCTTTTAACACCAACCTTCCTCTATCCAAACACCTCCTTCCTTTGTAAACCACAATCCAGCCACGCTGCCATAACCAAACTCAGGGATGCAATGGCAAATCTCTAAACTCCTCCAATAAATCCCCTAAAAATGACTCCTTTCAACAACTAATTCCCACACTTTTCCTTCCTTTCTCTCCACACAGCACCTGACTCTACAATATTGCACCAACTCTCACTCAGCTAGCTGGGAACATCCTTCTCCCAACTCCAACCTTAGCCCAGTAATTGATGATTCAGAGCCTGAATTGCCTGGAAAAGGCAGGATTCTGCTGAGCATTCCCACTCTAAGGATCCCCCTGCAAGCCATCTGCAATAAGCCAAGCTTTACCTACCCCCACTGACAACTGATGACCACGTCCCACCTGAAGGGCTGCCTCGTGCCACTGCAGCAGTAGATGCTTCCCCAGGTGCATTATGAGATACAAATTCTAAGCCACTTGAAATTGTACCCCTACCAGTAGAGACTCTGTGACCTCGAGGGTGCCGTTGAGCCTTTGGAGACATCCGTGGAGGCCCTGAGGGAAGAAAAAGACAACCCCACACAATAAGTGCTTCAAGTCCACCACAAAAACCCCAAACATCTCTTCTTAAAATCACATTTCATCTTAAAACTCTCAATAAAGCAGCAATAAAATCGAGCAATTGGCACTGATATCACAAAAAGGCCAAGGCATTGGTTCAGCCAGGCTGCCAACACTCATCACCTCCCCAGGGCAGCTCCTGGGTATTCAGAGGCTTTATCAGCACTGAAACAGGTGTGCAAGGCCTGGATTTAAAATATTTCAATCCAAGCATCCACCACTGCCAAGTGCAAGCCAAGCCATAAAGGTCAGTGGTGCAGCTGCCCCTGGATAAGCACAGTTCCAGGCTATCAAACATTTTTTCCAGAAAATAAAAAATTCCCAGTGCTTTTGTCAGGTGGTCAGTGAGCCCAACCATTTATAGTCACCACTGGCTGACCAATGCTCTTGGGGAATTTCAGCAGAGCATTCTCTGCAGCCAGGCTGAATTGCCTGCAGCAGGTCACAATTCATTTACAAGTCAGCAAAAATTACAACTAAACAAGGGATTGTTATCCCAAGGTTCAAGTCATGCATGTTTAACACCAGAAGCCAAAGTCATAAGTGAATACAGGAATTCTGCACAGCCTGTACAGCTGCCACACCATAGTTATGCTCAAATCTAAGCATCAATACAATTTTTGCATCCTAATAAACATTTTCTTTACAGGGTTAAACTCAAATGTTGATACTTCAAAAGGAAAAACTGTGTGTGAACAGAATCTGGCTGATTGCAGCTCATTTTTAACACAGGTCAGTAACAGGGTTAAGTTCAGATAATGGCTTTTAGGTTTCAGAAAAACTTCTAAAACACCAAGAACCTTTCCTGGTTACATAAATATTTAAATGTCAGCCTCTATTTTAACCTTGAATCTCAAGTCCACTTCAATACAAATTTCACACAGATGAGTATTTTAAATACACATTTCCCAGGGATAACCTTGCAGCAGGAGGAATTAAACATTACAGTAAGCAGCAGTTCACTGCACGCCTGACAAACCAACCACAAGTGCTAAGAAATAATTCAATGTACAGGTGGATTCTCAGTTCCTTACTCCATAAAAAGCCCACAATAAATGGACAGTAGACCACACAGATGTGGCTACCACCCACTTTTTGCTCAGGAGCATTTCCCAGTGTTCCTGCTGAGTCTCAGGGATCATTCCTCTCTCTCCCATGGCTCCAGCAGAGCTACAGCACCCACTGCAAATCTCCAGGGATCTCAGTACAACCACTTTGCATTTTCTAGGCTTGCTACACTGTGTTGTGCAGGGTTTAAGTGCACTTGAAATAAAAATTACAAACCATGTTCCTTACTGTACCCTTCCAGGACAAATTTAGTCAGGATAATTCTGCATACAGCTACCAAAGACTCACAGGTCAGCTTTTCTCTGTATATTATTGACTGCTAGGGAGCTGATTTATAGTTCTGAATAAAAAATTCCTACAAATTCACCTTTGAAGCAGCTCATCCTACCCCATTCCACAGTTCACTTCTCTGAATACAGCATTTTTATTATAATTATTGTCATTGGTTGCTTTACAAGAGGTGATTCAATGATTTAGTTAGGCTTTTTGTGGAACAACTGTGTTAAAATCAGTATTTTATACAAATTTATAGTCCTAAAAACGCTCCCTAAAGTTATCAGGTCCTGCATGTTGCTGTTGGTTAATTTAAGACACTGAGCAGCGTTTACAAAGCTGAGTTTAATTTCATACCAAACTCGGGAAATTACACAGCTTTCTTTCGTTTTTGTAAAGCTCTTCAAATCAAACAAACAGGAAAAAAAAAAAACAACAAACCACCAACCAAACCAATGAAAGAAAACAAAACAAAAAAGGTTAATAGAAATAGTCTGATCAACTAAAGTTAAACACAAATTACAGGTTAAGTAATGAAGAGGAAAAAAAAAAAAAAAAAAAAAA